CCAAATAGGGAATGGTTTTTTGACATACAGGTCGGTTAATTCTGGTTCTGTTTATTTGGGTGATGATCGATGTTGCAATATTGTTGGTATTGGTGATGTCAGAATTAAGATGTATGATGGCTTTGTTCGGACGTTGAGTGGTGTTCGACATATCCCAGATTTGAAGAAGAATTTGATTTCTTTGGGCACTTTGCACAAGAATGGTTTTATCCCTAAGGCTGATGAGGATAGGGAAACCATTCGGATTGTTAAAGATGCTTTGACTGTGATGAAATGAAAGATGACTGTAGGAAATATTTATAGATTGTTAGGGAGTACCGTTGCAGGTGGAGTTCATTCTGTTGAGTCCTGTGATGATACTACAAAATTGTGGCATATGCGTCTTGCTCATCTTAGTGAACGTGGTATGACAGAATTACACAAAAGAAATATGTTGCATGGTGTCAAAAGATGTAAGCTCGATTTTTGCAAGTATTGTGTTCTTGGTAAACAGACTAAAGTCCGTTTCAAGACTGCGAAGCACACAACTCAAGGGATTCTTGATTATGTGCATTCTGATGTATGGGGGCCTTCCACGACATCGTCTTTGGGTGGATCTAGGTATTATGTTACTTTTATTGATGATTTTTCACGGAAAGTTTGGGTGTATTTTTTGAAATAGAAATCTAAAGTTTTTGAGAAGTTCAAGCTGTGGAAAGGTGAGGTAGAAAACCAAACATGACAAAAAATCAATTGTTTGCGGTCTGACAATGGTATGGAGTACACAGATTCACAGTTCTTACACTTCTGTAAGGAGCACGGGATTAAGAGACATTTTACAGTGCGCAAGACACCACAACAGAATGGTGTTGCGGAACGGATGAACAGGTCATTGAATGAAAGAGCCAGATGTTTGCGGTTGAATGCGGGGCTTCCCAAAACACTTCTGGGCCGAGGCTGTTAACATGGCGTGTTATCTTATCAACATAGAAGAATGCCTCCACTTAACATATCGATGCTAGTAGCTCTGCCTTGTTAACTTAGTATTCGAATTCATTGAATGGTTTTAGCAATTAAAAGGAGTATTGTTCTTCTTTAAGATCATAGGTTCGAGCGTCTCTAAGGTATATATACATTACTAATAGCTAAAGATTTTAAATAAATATTACTTAATATTCACCTCATATTATTAAAAAAAACTGTATCCAATATGTGATTAGATGAAGAACTCTAGTTGGAGCCTATGATCTTTAACACCATTATTGTCCATATCCATGTCTTGTTTTCTTTACAAACACTGGGGGTATTCTTGCTATCACTCCCACGTTCGCCATCTTCAGTTTTTGAAAAGTAAGTTTCAGACAAAAGTACAGCATTTATTAATAAATAATAATAAATATAATAATTGTACTATAAAATATATATCGAATTTTATGTGTAAAAATCTTTTAGGAAAAAATATATACACAAGAGAAGAAGTTTCACTAATATCAAAAATAGAAGAATACAAAAGAAAAATTTATGAAGAACTTGATTTGTAACCTTGATCCGTAATATCTATTTATATATACTTATTTAATAAAAATATCCTTAAACTAGATTTTCAATTTTTAATCTACATAAAAGAAAATATGTCGTATACTTGTTTTAAAAAAAGTTAGATTTTATGCTTTCTTCCATTTTTTTTCTTAGTTATTTTTTAAATTTCTTTAATTTAAATTAGATCGAATTTGACTCAAACTCTAACAATGTTTACATTAACATAAATTCTGAAGGTGAAAGAAGTACGAGACAAAATTCTATTTCAATCAAACTCTTCACTTCTTTCATGAAACCCGTGAAGGGGTATTTGTCAATAATGATTGTCAACTGAATCTAAACTTTGTCGAAGCTTGAGCTTAGTCTTTACATCGTTAAGGACATCAAAACTTTGTTCACAATTGTATCACCACGAGCAATATCACACACTGAATGATCTCAATCATCAATGATAATTCTATCTTTTTTGTTATTAATCCATGTGATGAATTGGATTCTATTTTTCTTATCAAATTTGTTATGCTCACAAAATTGAATTATATTATAATTCCCAAAATCTTACTATACCAACTATTGTCTAGTTCAACACAAAATATTTCTTTATTTGATTCATCCAAGACGTGTTTACTAATAACGTCATCATCTAACACGAATGAGAAATCAACTTTATCTTTAAAAACTATTGAACCCTACATAACATAAAACTTGACATTCTTCTTTGCCCTTCCATCGCAATGGGAAAGTCATTGCAAATTTTCATACCTCCATCTACCACAATACGAATTTTGTGTTATGATCCAATAGCGGAATTTCATTTTCCAAGGATGTTATTATCATGGTCGAGACAAACAAAGGATGATATAATACTGATTTGTTAGAAGATAGCGACAAACATGATGATCACAGAATAAAACAGAAACCAAAATTGTACGTGAAAAATTCTTTAGAAAAAAAAAACTACGGTCCAAAGAGAATAATTTCCACTAATGTTAAAAATAGAAGAATGTGAGAAAAATCTCCATAAAGAATTTGACTTTTAACCTTAATCTTTAGTGTCTATTTATAAGTATAATTACTTGATTATAAAAGAGGTTTATTTAATAAAAATCTATTTAAACTATATTTTCTAATTTTTAATCAACATTGCCTACTTTCAATTTAGTTAGTATGTAGTTTAAATACTAAAATTAACTTTTAAAATTTTGAGGATTAAAATTTAATTATATCTAATTTTATATAAAAAAAATTGAAAGTCATAATTTGATTACATATAAAGTTAACAAATTATGTAGTTTTAATTGATATAATTTCTATGTAAAAAAATTGATATAATTTTCTGTTGTATTGAGGTCCATACTAACAACGTTGGACCTGAAAACTATTTTAACAAGTTTTGGGCTTTCATTAGATAAAAATATCCATTGAAGTTCAACGGCTATGTAAAACATGGATGCGCATCAACATCGCAATTAGGTAGGGATATTTTATCGGAATTTTGATTTAATTTAATTTTATAGAATTGGTTTTTTAAAATTCAAATTAGGTTAATTTTTTCAGATATAAGATAGGATCAATTTTTGGGTTTAGGGTGAAAGATATTGACTTGATCCGATTCGAAAATAATAATATAATTAATTTTTATATATTTAGACATAATCACTATAAAATCTATTTATCTATATTTTTTCAATTAATTATCTATTTTACCTAGTAAAAATGATATTTTTTATATTTATATTTGGATAGGTCAGGTGTGAGAGCTAACTTTTTATCTTAAAAACGAGTCAGATTTTCAATTGAGTGAAACTTACTTAAACTCAAATGTAAAGAGGTATTATATTCTGGTCAAGTTTGAGTGGATAAAAACCCAACCCGGCCCGCTTGTTTTTATGATCCCATCACCTGAATTCAAAGTACCAAAAAATGAACCCGACTCACTACCTCAGTATTCGGTTCGTAATAAACTTGACCATTCTCTTCTTGTTTAACTAAATAGCCCCGATTTGGCCATTTTCAACGTAACCTGTAAACTCTACGGTTCCCTTTCGCCATTTTCAAGATGAAAAAGAAAGCACATGGAAACCAAAAAGAGAATTCTCAATGAAGTTTCCTTTGCCTTTTGCCTTTTCCTTTTGCGTATCATATCATCATGCAATTCCAAACAACTTTATATCATCTAAAATAAAATAAGACTGAAGCACTCTCTCATAGATGGAACCACCATGGTCCATGGACCCCAAGAAACTTTATCATATAAGAGGTCGAATACGTTAACATTATGAAATACTCTTAAGACAGCGACATTTCAATAATATTCCATTATTGATCTTCTTTATCAAGCTTTGCATGAATATCAAAGTGTATCATACGATTCCGAACTCATCATGTGAATTCAATGGTAAAAGATTATAATATTCTTCCAAGAGGTCCTAAGTTCAAGCATGTGTGTTTGCAAGTGTGTACTTTATCAATAAGTTAATAAAGTTATGATCATATATTATTTTATAATCATCTTAGACTATTTTTAAAAAATGCAATATGACCCTATTTGCTTGTTTTTATGTTACCGCTTTGCTTGTTTCCGGTTAATCCCGCTAAACCAGATGTTGACATTGGATCGTGACGATCGGGGCGGAGCATATAGCCGACAAAACTTGACTCAAGGCCCTTCTTCGTGCCGTCCGTTTACTTGAAGCCACGAAATGATGACTTTACGTGATGAATTGTCTAAGGCAAACTTGTCTTTATCAGAACTTGAAACACACCCAAGCTGAAGTTGTAGGCGGCTACAACATGCAGGGTCCGTGTGTATACTAAGGTGAGATTCAACGTGTGGAAAATTAAGGATCATGTATGTTGATACGAAACGAAAGTTAATGATTCACTTTTTTTTAGTACAGGTGAAAAGTTGTAATTGGTGTTTTAATAGCCATTAGCTAATGATACTTGTATTAAAGATGCGAAGTGAGAGAATTTTAACTCCTATAAATTAACAGTTATAATTTATCTGAATTGAAAGAGAAACTATTAACAATCACACAAGTCATTTGACATTTTCAACAAATCATGGGGTCATATGACTCTAAACACTAATCAACTTTCGTTAAATCATCGATTCTCTACTCAAATTAAAAAAATATTATCAACTGCCAACCCTCATAAATTTCTCATCAACAATGTCCCATCTTATTTATGTCTCATCATTGTAACAACTAATTATTTAAATTAATTAATAGTAAGAATTATATTTTAACTACTTGAAAGTTTATAATTTGCTCCAAATCCCAAACTTTCTAAGAAAGTGGCTGCAATCTTGTTTGGAACTTTAGATGATTTGCTACTTATATAATATCACATCTACTTTTCCAAAAGGAAAGGGAAATTCATGATAAAAGATAAAAAAAAATAGAAGGAATAAAGCTAAATTAAATTAAATTACCCCACATTTTCCCTTTTCTATTTTTCATTTTTACCCAATAAAATTCTTGTCTCTATGTACATCACAAAAGCTAAAATGAAAAAAAGAAAACAAATATAAAATTCGAGAGACGACGAGGCATGATCTGATCTCCATTAATAGCGCGTGATGATCACCGCCAAAATAGTGTTTCAAACGTGGGTTTTACTTTTACAGTTTCACCCATGAAATCGGTTGAAATCGACAACCGCCGGGTGTATGTCTTTGAGTAAACCTAGCACTTGCTGCATCGTCGGCCTTTTCTCAGCCGACTCCGCCGTACACAAGTACCCGACTCCGAGGCTCTCCACCATCTCAGCCTCCGAGTCACCGCCTAGTCTCAACCTCGAGTCAAGCGCCACAACCCCATTCCTTTCCTTCACTAACCTCCTCACCCGCTTTACATTCTCCTCCGTCCCTTGCTTCCCCGTCAAAAGCTCCAACAAAACAACACCGAAGCAATAAACATCAAATTCAAAATCGTTTTCACCCTTTTTATCCCTTTCTTTCTTAGAACCAATGTTCCTTATCCCGAAATCGGATATCCGAGGTTCTAGATTGTCGGAGAGTAGAACATTAGAAGCCACGAGATGGCCATGGTTGGACCCTACATGATGTAGATAAGCCAACCCACGCGCAACCCCGACCGCGATGCGGTGGCGCGTCAGCCAGTTCGTTTTCTCCGGCGCAGAATTATGGGACCCGATTCCGTTGTGAATAATATCCCAAGTGTCGGTGCTCCAATCCTCCACGTTGGGCGCCCCCGTCGGAAGTTCATGTAACCACCGGTGTAAATCACCGTTTGCCACAAATTCATACAACACCAGCTTCTCCTTGCCTTAAAAAAGAAGAAAAGACCTTAAAAATTACTCTAATTAACGTGAAAGCTGAAAATGTACATACATGGATGAAGTTGAAAAGAAGCGCCAAAATTCACGAATGTCAATACAAGTAATGATGGCATGTCGTTGGCATGACAGAAATAACGACAGGTGATTGATTTTCAATATTTTCAGACAAACCCGTGAGATTGATTATTCAAATGCAGTAAACCTTGTCAGAGATGTAATAGTTAGGGTTCACCTGCAATGCAGTAACCGGAGAGAGGTAATAGGTTAGGGTGCTTGAGCCTAAAAAGATCTTCAAACATGGCAACGGCTTCATCACGATCGACGTCTCTGGCGTGTTCCAAAACCTTGATCGCCACGTGGAGGTCACCCGGGAGGACAGCTCTGTAAAGTGGCCCACATTGGCCTTCTGCCAGTACGGACTCCTTTCCGAAACGAGACGTGGCGGCGATCAAGTCCTTGAAGGTGAAGTTCATCAACGGCTTTGAGGACATGATGACCGGGGCTGATGTCGGTTCTTTGATGTCCGCCACCCACGACGAACCCGATTCCGTCTCGAAAGAGAACGGCCCTGATTTTTCGATCTTGAAATTTGGTTGAACCGGGTTGGATATGGCCCATTTGTTTTTTCTCCTCGCTAGTTTCTTTCTCTTGTATATGCAAAAGATGCAGAACGCAAGGGAAGCAAGTAGAAAACCAGATGAAGACGATAAACCAATGACCAGAGCTTTGCTTTTTGATTTGGCGTGGCGTTTCAGTGGTAACTGTTGTTGGAAAACTGTGTGTGTTGGGGTCAAGGAATGGGGTTTAATGTGATTGCTCGGTGCTTTTTTTGAAGTATTGAAAACGAAATTCCCAGCATGAATAAAAGCAGATTTGCCAAATCTTTGGAACTTGTCAAACCCAACTGAACCATTGAAGTGGTTGAGCGAAATGTTGAGAAACTTCAAGCTATTAGCAGAAGGGAAATCGAAAGGGAAAGTACCATTCATGGAGTTGTTTGATACATCCAAGTAATTCAATGAATGAAGAGTTGAAATAGGCTTTACACTGCCAGAAATCTTGCAACTCGAAATATCCAGATGCTGGAGGTTGGTAAGTTTGATAAATCCATCGGGAAGAACACCAAGAACATTGTTTGAAACGTCAAGAAATTCAAGGTTGGGAAAACCAGAGAGTTTAACCAAGTTGGTGAACCTGTTAGTCGAAAGGTTCAGTACCCGAACCGATGAAAACGAGTCAATCCCCGAGGTGGGCTCGAACCCAATCGTTCCTCCGAACCTATTTCTCGACAGATTGACTTGGACAAGTGCGGACATAGACCAGAACCAACCGGGAACTAAGCCTTGAAGAGAATTGTGGGAGAGATCAATGGTGCGCAACTGTGAAAGGTGCCTGAGAAATTTCCATGAAACGGTACCTGTTAAATCCTTTGAAGAGAAATTCAATACCTTTATCGGAGGATAGGAGCAGTTGACGTCGTGGGATTTCAACCAAGAGATGTTGAACCCAGAGACCGATTTAAAAGCTTTGGAAACCAGTGCCTGGTCTGTACTGTTGCATGTTGATTGTGCCGCTACCAGCAGCGAAAAGAGAAGTGAAAATCTCGGGAGAAGTTTCATTTCTTAAACTTTTCTGCAGTTTTGGGCATTTACAGAGATAGAAGAAGAAGAAGGCAGCTTGAAGAAATATATGAAGAGGCTTTATCTTTTTGGATTGAAGGTGGGGGACCTTGAAAAGCTAGTGAAGTAGGATTGCTGCGGAAGTTAACGGCAGTGGGGTATAAAACTGATGGAGCAGTTAACGGTGTGAATTGTTCAACTGTTGATGCGGGTTGAGCACTTCATTGTGCATTTTGTCCATAGTTATTTATATTAAATAGTATTAATATAAATATCTTATTATTAATTACATGATATAAACGATTTTAATGGTTAAAGAAAAATTTGTTATTTTTGAGGTCATAAGTTCGATTAGTTGTCTTTACAAGGTAGGTGTGTTGGTCGAGACACTTGAAATGGTAACGTTAGTAACACTAAGTGTCTTGATAGATCAAAAAATAATTTAGACACATAAATAAAACTACGATATAAATTGGACACTTATTTTTATATTAAATACAAAATAATCACATTCTAACTATTTTGATAAAAGATGCTACTCATTTATACACGAAACACAAACTTAGATTAAAATAACAATAAAATCAAATTAAAGAAATAAACATACAGCTCAGTTGGTAGAGCACAAGACTCTTAACCTTGGGATCGTGGGATTGAGTCTCATGGAGGGTATTTTATAATTCAGAGATCTCTTACGGAAGCTGCTCTCAACCTGGCGTTGGGGGCAGCTTACTATCCCGCCTCTCCTTATTCCATTACATATGGGAATGAGGGTAAGCTAATTTAATAAAATCAAATTAAAGAACCTAAAAGAAAAATATAGAAAAGACATTAATTTAAGAATGCGCGTCTGCATGAATGGAACATATAGCGCTTTAAGGATATTTCATTTTAGCGACTTAGATAGGAGTTTTGAGCCAGAAAAGATAGATGCCTGAATATGTTTCGCTTTGGCGACCTGGATGTCTAACTCTCTAAGTCTCACATGAATTCTAAGGTCTTTTCTTATAATAATTTTAATATCTATCATTTATTAATAAAGTTAATTACTAGATGATAAAGAAATCTAATATTACCAAAAATAAATAAAGAAATATGAATTTCTATACTCAGCCGAAAGCTAACAGTATAAGTATAGTCTTATTTAGATTAGATGTGCGGCAATGCATGTATGTGAGATTTCGCTCCTAAACTTTTTTCTCTTAATTTATTTTTTCCATTAAATAGATCGTACTACAAATTTTTCATATAAAATCAAAATAAAATTTAGATTGAATAAATTAGGGATCATATATGTGCTGATTGTGTTCCCACTGGATAGATTTAATATAAGGTCTTGAGGCCGTGCAACATTCAAAGAGCCCAAAGCTGATATCAGGATTTTCAATAGTTATGTGCAAAATCTTAGAGGCAAATACTTAGTTGAGAATAGTAGTATGAAATGCTTCGATTTAACATGTTTGTAAAGAAAGGAATAGAAGACAATTCAGAATGTCAGTTTAATTGCCACGGAGATTTTAGGTAGTATCAAGTATTGTAGTTAGCAATAGATTCTAGCCAGAGTTGGAGTAAGGATTGTAACTTGAGAGGAGTAAAATATAACTTTTTAAAAGTGAGGACAATTCATAATTATTTAAATTATATATATATAAAAATCCCAGGTTGGGGGGCACAGCCCCTCCCATATATCTAATAGACTCATCCCTGATTTTAGGATTAATCGAATTGATGATCTAACTAGTGATGTACAGGATACTTGAATAGGATTGGGATACTTGTAAATGATGTATAGGATGATGCACTCTGTTTTCATGTAGCAACTTTTGTTGTTTTCTTTGAATAATAAACGAACACTTATCTAAAAATGTATACGACACACTCATATATATATATATATATATATATATATATATATCATTGAATTGATCAACAGAACTAGATGGGTACGAAGATGCCCTACAAGATAGAAGGTATCATGGTTTTGTGGAAGCATTCTCCACCATTTGCGTGTGTATATATGTAACTTTCTTTAAGGGGACGGTGGTCAACGTATGGTGGTGTTGTTTCTTACTTTTAGTGGGGGAGATTGGAGCCCCCATGCAAATGCTGGGTCTTTGGCTCTTTGTGCATAGTCAATACGGCAAAACAATGATGCTTTAGATGAAAGCCTCACGCCAATGCTCCATAATTGGGTCATAGTAATTCTACTTCAACATCCCACTTTGGACATATTTGGTTAAATCATCAATTGTTATACATTGCTCTTTCAAGTAAAATCTTATATTCATAAAGTGGTTTGAGTTGTAAAAATAAATATTATTCTTTTTAAAAGATTTAGATTTAAATAGTTGCTTCTGCAGAATATGTACATGTTATCAATAAATTAAAAAAAATCTTAAACATATATCTTGAAATTATATCGGACTATACATAAAAACTAAAATAAAGATATTTTTCCCGTAATTTTTTTGTTGAAGTAGTATCCAAACAAACTCGAGCTTGTTTTCTCATCCTAGTTTATTTCAAGCATAATAACAAAATTACCATCAACATTTGTATAAATGGTCAATTTGACCCATATATTTTTTGGAGCATTTTAGCCATAACGTTTCAATTTTTGATCAGCATACCCATATTGATAGAAAACAGTTAGGTGACTAATGATTAACACATATCACATGACATTTTCGCATGTGCTTAACCGTTGATGTGGTACATGTCATGTTATTACTTTGTGTGACAAAATATATATCATGTCATCAGTCTAGGTGATGTCATATATACTACATTAACAATTAAATGCATATAAAAACGACACATCAAAACTAATAACATGTGTTTATTCAGATAAGTCTGTAAAAACATAGATTATTGATGATCGATTCATTTATCAATATTGATCAAATCAAGTGAACTTAAGAAAAGGAATGACTATTCAAATAAAGAAAAGATGAAACAATGGGTCAGTAACTTGATGTTTAAAAAAAACTGAATTTACCGATATCAGAAACTCAAATGTATATGTTAATGACTGGTTTCAGCAATCGTGCTACATGTTTATTGGAATTACAACTTCAATTAAAACCCTAGTTTTAAGAGTTGAAAGAATGTGTGTGAAAACTAATGAAGAATATTTGTTTTTTCAGAGAAAAAGAAATCTTGTCTGCTCAACCACACCAATTTGCTCAAGTCATCATCTAGAAGTAATGGACAAAAAAATAATGAATTATTATCACATAATGTGCATAAATGTAAGTGATTGTAGCGGCTCCACTACCATTATTCTGCAACTTTTTTGACGCACGAAAGCTAATCAACTTTATCAATCAAATGAGAGAGAAACATAATTTACTATTGATTCAAAGACTTGACTCAGAAATTTTCAGAACGAATCATTTTCTCTAAGCACAGATCCTCAATTTTTGTTTAATTTCTGCGTTAATCCGGTATGTTTATAACCCTATCATTTTAGTGTTCAATCAATTAATCACATCTCACCACCAAAAATCATATAGTATTGTGAGATGAAATATTAGATCATTTAAACAAGAGCATGAATACAAATCTTGACGTTTATAAATAGAATAAATTAGGTTGAGAGTGTCATTTTTATAATAGAACTCTGTAAATTTATAAGATTAGTATCTACTTAGTGTAAAACTTTTAATTTGATTTAATATAAAAATTATACCCTTTTTCTCATTTACGCACTTAATTGTTACCATTTAAGTGTTTTCTCATATATACTTGAAATGCTTGGAGGGAAAGTTTGATGGTTGGATTGGATTCACCCAATCCACAAAAATCCAACCCAACATTCCAAAAGGAATGACAACTAAGTTTGTGAAACCGAAATTTGTAATTAAAATAATTTTATGTCCTCAGATAATCCTACCTAAAAGCAAGAGACAGAATGTTAATAATTCTTATTATATGTTTTCTATCAAATTTATTTATATCTTAAAAATAACATTATGATAATGGAACTAGGGCTTCCTCTCTAACTAGTACGCCTTGACAGGTAAAATACATTTCTTTATTGAACCTTATTTAATCGTGATTAGGAAGTGGACGTGAAACATTGGAATTTTATTTACTAAAATATTTTAACAGTTGAGATTAATTTTGAATTTATTGAATCTAATAAAAACGAAAAAAATTTGTAATGTATTGTAAGAACTGTATATAGGTCCTATGTATTGTAAGTATTGTTAGTATTTCCCATCTTCATCCTTCAGTATCATTATATAAAGCAATCACTTTTGATTTAATGTTCTTTAAAATAATGGATAAAGTTTACTAATAGTCCTAAACTTTTAAGGGTATTTACCTTGGTCAACAAAATGGAAGGTGATGTGACACTTTAAAAAATCCTAAAAAACTTAGCAGAAATCGCTCTTTCTTGTGTGGTTATTTTTGTCACTGTTTAATAGTTTCTCTTGTCGAAAAAAATACTGAACCTTTATTTTCTCCTTTTTATTTCTTTCATTTAGTTTAACTTCGTCAATAAAACCTTTTATTCTCAACTAAAATTAAAAGTTAAATTTTTTTATTCACCATTACTAATCGTCATATTAGTTTGAAATTAAACTATGTTATTTTTTTGGACAAATATAATATTTTCATTGTTAAAATTGACCGACGATCATTTTATTCATTAGAAACTTGACACTTGCGATAATTTAACAATTTGGAACCTTACGACTTTTGGGAAAGAAGGCTTTAATATTCTACATCAATTAACAACAATGGTCATAATGAATAATAAATTAAAAGTTTAATAATTGTAATGATAGTTTTAAAAGCCAGGTACAAGTGAAAACACTCTAAGAGTATGTTTGGTTCACGGAATGTAAGATTATCAGTGGGAATAAAAGATTACCAGGGAATAGGATTACTGGGAATGTTACATTATTGTGTTTGGTTGGTTTGGCAGGAATGTAAGATTACAATGTTTGGTTAAAGGAATTAAAATATTACTAGAATGTATATTTTACCAAATTGTCCTTATTTTATATTTTTTAACAAGT